GAAAACATTAGCAACATCAAAACTAGCTTAACTCAAGGAGAATTCTGAGCTTCCACGACTAATCCTGTAATCCTATCTCAGGATCTGTACTGGGGGAGGGGAGGCAGGGGGGCTTTAGTATAATTTCATGTGTGTGGAGCATCAATGGGAGATGTAGAAACCAAATGATTCATGTTCTGAATTCTTTTTCAGCTCCTAAATGGTCCCAGAGTGTTACTTCAAAACCAAAAACATCACCAAGCCCAGAAGTGTCATATACTACACCTGGTAAATGCTTTAATTTACATTTAAGCCAAATGAATTCTATTGTCATGCACTGCAGAAATGAAACACAAGATTGATGGATATGAGGTCACCATTTTATTTATATGCAAATACCATGTTATATTATAAATGTATGATATATTTCAAAACATGGTTATTTCAGAGATTTCTTAAGGGCTTTCCAGTTGTTTACATAAAGCTATTGGTACAATCAAAAGCCTGAAAATGATGCTTAAAGTCTCTTCTAGAACTAAAGTTCTCTTATTCTCTGATTTACAAATAGTAACCTATCACTCTAACCAAGGTATGCACAAACATTTCCCCAACTCAAGAACATAAAGGTGTATCTTCACAAAATTTATATAAGTGTTTTCTAAATGAAGGAAATTATGTCTAACATTTCTCTTGGGTTCAGAAATTTTACTGTATCCAGCATTGTTTCCTCTTTCTGCTAAATTTTTCTTCCACTTTTATAGAGCAATAGTTTGGCATAAGAAATTTGTTTCTTAAAAAGTAATTTCTTTAGCTACAAATCTATTTGTTTCCCATCACTCTGAAAGGACCTTTGTCCAATTATAGAGGGAGTGATTTCATATTGTGAAAGTTGCTAACAGGGACTTCAAGAAAGAAGGAAAAGGTCAAAATGGATGTCACAAGAGACTGAAAATTGCTCTCCAGGATAGAAATGCTTAAGCAAATGGAAGAAATGAGGAGGTACAAGAGCTGAACAGAAATTTTCAAAGGTCAGCTCAAGAAGACAAAGTCAAATACTACAACAAAATGTGCAAAGATCTGGAGTTGGAAAGCCAAAAGGGAAGAACATGCTAGGCATTTCTCAAGCTAAGGGAACTGAAGCAAAAATTCAAGCCTAGACTTACGTTACTGAAGGATTCTCTAGGCAAATTATTGAATTGATGTAGGAAGTGCCAAAAGAAGATGGAAGGAATACACAGAGTCACTGTACCAAATAGAAATGGTTGATGTTCAACCATTTCAAGAGGTAGCATATGACCAAGAGCCAATGATCCCAAAGGAAGAATCCAAGGTGCACTGAAGGAATTGGCAAAGAACAAGTCACCCGGAATTGATGGAAAACAAATTGAAATCTTTCAACAAAGTGAGGCAGCACTGGAGGCACTTACTCATCTATGCCAAGAAATTTGGAGGGCCAACTGATTAGCAGAGATCTGCATTCGTGCCCATTCCTAGGAAAGGTGACCAAAAGGAATGCAGAAATCATCGGATAAAATCATTGATATCTCATGTGAGTAATATTTTAAGATAATACAAAAAGGGCTGCAAGCAACCATTGACAGAGAACTTCCAGAGGTTCAAGCTGGATTCAGAAGAGGCCATGGGACGAGGGATATCATTGCTGATGCCTGATGGATCTTGGCTGAAAGCAAAGAATATCAGAAGATGTTTACCTGTGCTTTACTGACTCTACAAAGGCTTTCAATTGTGTGGATGAAGACAAGCTATGAACAACATTGCAAAGATTAAGTATTCTGGAACACTTAATTGTGCTCATGAGGAACCTGACTAAGAGGCAGTTGTTCAAAAAGAACCCAGGAATACTGAATGATTTAAAATTTGGAAAGGTTTGTGATAGGGTTGTATTCTTTCACCATACTTATTCAACCTGTATGCTGAGCAAGTAATC